GCCTGGGCTGCCCGCCTGCCCCTTGGTACCCTTGAGGCCCTGCAGGCCTCGGTCCCCTCGGGGGCCCTCCTTGCCCAGCTTTCCTGGCGTGCCCAGCGGACCTCGGTCCCCTTTGTCACCTGTGGCGGGGACATGAGAAGGGAGAAGTGAGGGCAGACACCTAACAGCGCCATCAGCTGGGTCCCCTATTGCTAAACTTCAAACACATGCAAAAGGGTTTAATTCCAGCCCTGGGTGCTATGACAGACACTCGGGATGTACACCTTAGGTCACCATCTTAAGGACACCCCTACCCAGACTCTGGGCACTCACAAGCCCTTCCGGCAGACCGCAGTCAGGAAGCAGGACCACCGTCCAGCACCACCATCCCCATTCCGCCTGCCCAGGGCTCTGGCAGCCCGGAGCTGAGTCCCAGGTCTCCAGGCAGGCAAGCCTGCTGGGCCTTGCTCCAGGCTGACCCTGAGCACAGGCAGGTGAGCCCCTACATCCCTCACACTTCTGTGAGCTGTACCCATGGCCACACCTGCAGCACATCCGTGACCACGGTGGGAAAAGGGCTAGAGAGGGGACACAGGCCCTTGCAGGAGGAGTCAGAGGAGAAGGGAACCAGATCGGTCCATGGCCCTGTGGAGGTCAGCTCCCCAGCCTCCGCATGGGAGAACTGCCCAAGGGTGAACCACACTTCATGGTTTGCAGAACACCTGCTCCACCCCGGCTCAGGGGAGGCAGGAGGGTACAGGGCAGGGCAGCAGGCCCCAGGAGAGGGGACCAGCCTGACATGTGGGCAAGGAGCTGCGACAGGGACCCAGGACTCCAAGAGGCCACCTGGGGCCTCCTGCCACTGCAAACAGGCCATCTCCAGTGGGAAGGACAGTCGGGAAGTGCTGTCGGCACGCAGGCACTGCCAACCTCTGTCAAGAGCCATTCTACATAAGTGGGGTGGGGGTTCATTTCCTAATTAAAGCATGACTCTAGCTGTCTAAGGTCCAGTGTTGCCTTGCCCACGAGCTGGCTGTGGCATGCAGAAACATGACCCCATTTTCCTCTGGTCACAAGTTGAGGCCTCAGTGGTCCATGATGCTGTGACACTCAAGGTCAAGAGTACATCAGCTGAAGACATCCCGGGTCTTTGAGAACCCAGTAGTAACACAAAAAGAGAAAGGTTTCGCCTGGGAAGGGACAAGTCCCTTATCAGCTGAACCCATCCCATTACTATTGTGGGAATGCTCTCCTTTCCACCCTCATCAGCGTACGTTCCCCACAGACATAGGATCACCGCTACCCCCCAAGTTACCCGATGCTCCCTCCAATTGCTGTGTGCACCCAATAGTGGCCAGCTCAGAGCCTTTGTCTTTGCCCACACTGAGGCAATGACCTCCTGACTTAGAAATCACACAAGTCTCTACTGTCTTTTCTCTTTAGGCCTCCCTGGGCCCCTCTCTAGGCAATCAGAGGACTGATCACCTTCCCATAATCCTCAGCAGAGCGCTGTGTGCCAGGGAGGCTGTGCTGGTGAGCTGGTGAGGAGGGGTGGCCAAGAAGGGAGACATCCCTCCCTGAGACCTCAGACACCAGCTGGTCACTGGAGCCCTCAGGAACAAGTCCCGCTCCGTCCCTGACAGCCGTGTGACTCAGGGAGAGGTCCTCCCGGATTGGAGACTCAGCCCTCCCATCTGCAGAGTGGAAGGGATGATAGGGTGTTGACCTCACGGGGTCAGTGTGAGCAAAGACGGAGGCTGAGGGTGTCAGGGGCTCGGCCGCAGCCCCCTTCACAGCTGATGTCATATTGCAGGGAGCTGCCCGCACTCTATGGCCTGAGTGGGCCCCACTGCTGTGGCCATTTCTGCCTCTGACCCTGCTCTCTGTTCTGCACATGGCCTCAGAAGGGTCCATCAGAAGCCTAAGTCAGGTCAGCTCCCTCCTCAGCTCGAGCTCATCCTGATCCCACGGTGGCTACCGTGACAGCTGGGCCATCTAGCCCTGTCCTGTCTCCCCTGCCCTGCCCCTTGAGCACCCCCGCCCCTGGGTAGCAAAGCTACCCGCTCCCCATCCACCTTGCCATCCCCTTGGGCTCTTAGGTGGCCTGCTTGTCCTGGCTTCTCCTGCTCCTCGGCCGCCCTGCCGCATGGGGACTCACCCTTCAGGATGGTGATGTTGATGTAGGGCCTGACCTCAGGCAGGGCATAGGGGAGGGCGGATGGAGAGGTGGCATCTGCAGCACCGGCAGGAGTCAGAGCATCCTTGGGGTCACAGCACCGTCGGCAGCCGCCAGGAAGGCTGGGGGCCTTGGCTTCCCCAGAGGTGGGCTCATCAGTGGGGACCCCAGACACCAGGAGAGGGAGCAGGAGCACTGCCCAGAGGGGATGCAGGGTGGTTGTCCCCATGGTGACCTGGAACAGGAGGGACAGGAACTACATTTCACTCCCAGGCTCCGATGTGTCAGTGCCCATGGTGGCTGCTGCCTCCCTCAGCAAGTGGGGAGGACAGAAGCAGGGCCCCCACTTGGCAGACAGGAAGATGGGAGACTGCACAGGGACACCAACTCTCCAGGGACAGAGAGCAGACAGAGGCCCCAGGGGCCTGGGCTGTGTGAACAGGGAGACACCAGGGGCTATGAGGATAACCAGGGTCAGCTGAAGAGCCCTCCTCTTGCCCAGTGAGTGCATGCCCTAGGTTGGCAGGGGAGCTGGGGCACCAGGGATGCCACACTGGCTTCTGTAGGCTTGTTCTCAGCAGAGGGGCCATTCAGTGCATCCCCACTTGGGTATGGGAACACCATGGTCCTGACAAAGGAGACAGGAGAGCCTGTCAGTTCTAGCAGAGAGGAAGTACACGGGTGACAACAGTGTCAGCATATCCTTGAGACACTGGGAAGATGTGTCATGGACTGCAGGCCACTCCAGCCTTGGCAGCACCTCTGTGGAAAGACTGTGACTCCTTTTTGGGTGGGCAAGTGAGAAACAAATCCCCTTCGGAGGGTGTGCAGCCCAGCAAATGTTGGGTCAGCCACCGTGCCCCTCAGCACCTTTGTGCAGTCAACAACCTACACAACCCAACATTAACAAGAAACCCTGCAGGGAAGGCTCAGAGTTAGGACATCGGAAAGTGGCTGTGTCAATCATCACAGACCTGCCCATCAGCCACTAAGGTGACAAGCTGGAATTAAGACTATGAGGTGTGCGATGAGAGAAAAAAAAGAGAGAGAGAGAATTAAAAAATGCTTTCCCAAGCCAAAAAAAAAAAAAAAAAAAAACTATGCGGTGTGGAAAATGCAAAGGGGTCAGAGAAGCCCAAGGGCCAGTGAGGATCTGCCTCTGAGGTGGGCCATGGAGGAACCCCAAATTCGGTGGCCTGGACTCCAGCAAAGAAGACAGCTGGGGCGGGCAGCAGGGAGCCCCCAGGGACCAGCATCGCCCAGCGATGGCAGGATCAGAAGCTAGCTTCTGAAACCAGACTGGTTTTTACACTTCTAGCGTTTCTCTGTTTATTTCCTTTTGTTCTCTTTTAACATTTAGTACAATTCAAAAATATTTTTTGTGGTTAATACAGGTACAGGAGGTAAAATGATTACCCTTTGAAATGCCACCCTAGCCCAGCTGAGCACTGGGTACTGGGGCCCCGTCTCCCCCTCCCCAGGGGCTGGGTGGCAGCAGGGGGGCCAGGCAGTCTCCAGAGCCACCCCTGCCTGAGGTGACCCTTCCAGGCTCCTCCTGCCTGCCCTGGTGCCGCTTTGACTGGCATGGTGCGCAACCCCCACCACCACCACTGTGATCATCACCAGCTTTCGCCCATAAACCACAGACCCCCAACCAAACCTCCTTCTTTTCCCATCGCTGTGGGATGTGGTCTCATCCTGTGGGAAAAGCTGACGCCTCAGAGTCAGAACTGAGATGCCAGGGTACAAGCTCTGTGATCAAAGGCCAGTGGCTTGACCTCTCTGGGCTGTCGTGCCACCTCTGTGCCCAGTTAGCCGGGAGGCCCACATGCTGGGGAAGTGCCTGGCTTGATAAAAACACTTAAGAGTCTGTTCCTTCCCTACCCTGTGCCTGCAGGCTGAGGAAGGCACAGAAAATCCCCCAGGAGGTTGACACAGTATGGGGACATTTCTATTTCCTATTGGCCCCGGTTTGATGAGAGTCAAAAGCTGTGAGACACAGCATAGAAGCTGGGGACAGGAAGCAGGAAGCCAAGCCGCCTTACCAAGGACAGTAATAACTGGCCTGCCCTGGGCGTGCCAGGCAGGGACCAAGCGTGGGGGACCATGCTATCCAGGGGTCACTGCTGCCTCTGCTGGACAGCTTGGTCCTTCGGGGGAGCAGGGTGCCCCTGCAGAGGTGGCCAGGGCTGGGCTGGGGCAGTACAAGACAGCATCCAGTCAGGACAGTGGGCTGGTGCGGTCCACAGAAGCAGGAAGGAGGAGAGGAGTCCTCGGCTCAGACCCCAGGTCCCTGCAAGGGGCCTCCCGCCACTCACCCGGCGTCCTGCAGCCTCCCTGCACAGTGGCTGACCGCTCACAGACCCGGGGCCTCTGGGTGGCCTCTGGCTCCTCGGCCCATCCTGTGATGGTAACTTGTTGCTTCCTGGCCGACCCCCAGCCCCCGGAGCAGGAGGGAGGAGGGGCGGGAGGAGGTTGGGGGAGGAAGGGGAGGCGGGAGCGCTGAGCTGGCTGCCCACTCCCTCCTCCCAACCCCAATCCCTCCTTCTCCCCTCCCTGCGCCAGGCGGCTCCCAAGATCAAGGGACCGGGATTTCCGCTGCTTAACTCTTTGGAGGTCTGATGAGTGCGGTTTGATTCAAAGACTTGGAAAGAGAGCTGCAAGGAGTCTGAGGCACCTCCATGTCTGGACTGGGAAACTGAGGCAGTCAGCAGAGCGGGCAGGAGTCCCCTCACTTGCTAAGGGGAGGCAGCCCTGGAAACTGCCTAGTCCAGGGTCCTAAAGCTCCACTGCTGAGTGGCAGACGTGGGGTGGATGGGGTGAGGGGACTGGACAGGCACCAGCACCCACCCTCCTGCTCCAGGCTCAAATCCTGGCCCTGCCACTCACTAGCCAGGGACCCAACCAATCACTGCCTCTGACACGGGTGTCCTAGGATTCTGTCACCACCCTAGTGTCACACACACAGGATAGGCTGGCTGGGTGAATGGCACGCAGGACCCCTCAGGTGCCAGGTGAGGGGCAGCCAGGTCCCAGTGGACACCAAAGTCCTCCTCCTCAACCCAGAATTCTGCTGTCATTTTTATTCAGCCTCCTGGTCCTTTACAATGAGGGAAGTGACCCCCAACAAGTTCAGAGAACAGCCTGCGGGGCCCTGGGTCTGGGCAGGGTCCTGCTTCAGTCTCCTTCTAGTTGGGCTCGGGGAAGCTTAGCAGAGACTGCAGCCCTGGCTCTCCACCCTGGTTTCCCAGGGCCAGAAGCCTGTGCAAAGACTGCCTCAAATGTCCCTGGCCTTCTGTTCCGCAGTCACTGTGTACCTACTGCTTGGGCCAAGCCTCACCTCTCACCTCAGCCTCAGAAGAGGGAGCCAGGCTTAGGGGCAGCTGAGTGACCTGATGCAGAAAAGGACTGGGTGCAGACGGAAGTGCTCTCCAACCCACTGAAGCCCACAGCTTGGGCCAGGGAAGGCAGAGGTGTAGGGAACAGAGGGGGACATGTGTTCCATCTGGGGTTCTGCAGGCTGAACCTCAGTCCCCACTCACAGCTGTGCTGCAGAGAAAGGCACGGCCCCTGACTGTATGTGCTTGACCAGCACCCATCCCTGGGCCAGATTTCCTTTTTCTTGGGGGATAATCAGACATCTGTGAATCAGGCTTGGAAGGCTCTTTAGAGATGATTTAATCCGATTCTTCCATCTGACCCGCAGAGACAGGACACCATGGCCCAGGGAGGTGAAGACTTTGGCTCCAGGTCACCTAGCAGATCGGAGCCCAAGCTGAGAAGAGAGCCAGACTCTAATGGCTTCTGGCTTTGTGCTGCTTCCCCTCCTGTAGCACTGACTTGTGGAGCCTCCAAGTGTGTTCAGCAGCGTGGGGTGACCGCAGTAAAGGCCTGTGAGGGCCTGGGCCGAGGGGACCACTCTCCACGCCCTCTACATGGCCCTGCCCTGGTCAGCATTCCCAGGGCACAGAGTCAGGGCACGGGAGCCACCTCCTACCCTGTCAGACGCCACCCTGGAAAAAGGCAGAGTCAGCAGCACCGGGGTGGGGGTGGTGCTTGGCTGTCTCTGAGCCTGAGAGGCTGCAGAAAGGGGTGGAGAAGGAAGTTGGATAGAGGCAGAGAGGCAGGCTAGGGACCCCGCACTCTTGTCCAGGGATGGCAGCATCTCACACACACTCAGCACCCCTATGCAAGATAAAACTTCAACCCAGGAGAATGTGACTTGCAGGTTTGAAGGCAAGCTTCTGACTCCCTGGGTCCAGACAGTAAACAAGAAAGCAGAGTGCAGGATTTTTGTGGTTGATGTTGTTGTTGTACCAGGGATCGAACTCAGGTCCTTGTGCTTGCGAGGCAGGCAGTAGAACCACTGAGTTAAATCCCCGGCCCTGAGCTCAGGATTGTTATACTTATTCCCCCCCCACCATCTTTCACCGTGCCTGGAAAGTCCTCCCCATGGTCATCATCTCTGTCTGTCCTCTCTTGGATCTGAAATGTTGCCCTAAAGCTCACAGGTTGAGGGCTTTGTCCCCAGGGCAGCAGTCGTGTTCAGGGGTGGTGCCTTTGGGAAGGTGAACTGGGTCAGGAGGACTCTGACATCATCAGTGGGTTAAACCACGAATGGAGTCACAGGGGTGCTAACTGGGAGGAGATGGAAACTTAGGAGGTGAGACCTAGTTAAGTGAGCTGGGCACATTTTGTTCCCGGCCCCTTCCTCTCTGGCTCACTTCTCTGATTCCCAGCTGCCACAAAGAAAGCAGTCTGGCTCCAACGCTGGCTCTCTATCATGATGTTCAGCCTCAGCTTAGTCCTCCAGGGACAAGGCCAACCAACCATGGATCAATACCCTGCAACTGTGAGCCCCCCTCCTACGTTGATGTCCTCAGAAATCTAGCACAGTCCCCTAGCCACCAGAATCTCCTCAGCCAGTTAAGAGGTTTAGAGACGGCTCCAGCCCTGGCGCAAGCAAACCTGGGTTATGACTCAACCATGCCTCTCCTCTCTGTGTGATCTCGAGCAGGGCTCCTCACTCTGAGTCTTAGAGCCTGGGTCGGATGAACAGGAGGACACCAAGACCGCGTGCCTGGTGAAGTAGCCAATGGGGGTGCTCCGCATCGACAGCCTCAGTGCGTCTCCCTGGCTGTAATATTATGAGGTGCGCCCATTCCCCTCATGCACACCCCAGTGTGGAGGTCTTGGGAGTCCAAGATGCCCTCAGCCCCCATCAGCAAAGCCAAAACCCCAACCCAGAGGCCCTGCGCCACGTCACCAAGGCCAGAACCCCAGCCACACACACCTCCCCTCTTCCAGAAGATAGTGACGCCAGGATCCGGGAGTCAGCTACGTAAACCGTGAAGGGCAGTCACAGGTCTAATCTTTCAAGGTCAGACACCAGTTTCCGCTCTAACAAACGGTAACGCGCGAGCGCCACCTGCTGGGAAGAGCCCCACACCCGCAGTCTGCGCCGCCCCCTGCCCGGGGCCCTAGAGCCCTAACCTCCCTGCTTCCTCAGCCGTCGCCCCCATTAGGGGACCAAAGGGGCAGGGGCCGCCCGGGTGTCCATTCACTCGCCGCCTCCTGCACACCCCTGCGCTCCCGGAAAAGCGGGCAGCATCCCTTCCCCAGCAGCGCCTCCTCGTCGCGCGGCCCCAAGTCAGGCTCTAGAGTCCCCGGCCGCCCCGGAGGATTCCATCTGCCAGTCGCCGCCACGCTCGCGGCACACTTGGCACCCAGCTAAACAGGACCCTCGCCACGAGGCCGCCGCTGGCGGGCGGCTTCGCGGGCCTAAACCCCTGAAACCTAAGGGCGCTAGGAGGCCAGGAACCGCTAGCTTACTGGGGAGAGGTCTTTGAGGGTCCAGGGCCGAACTCGTGAACGAGCAGAGCCGAGTATAGCCGAAAAGAGACGAGTCTGGCCGACTCCAGGCATCTCCAACCGAATAGAGCCGAGAGTGGCCGAATAGAACCGAGTCCGGACGACCAAGAGGAGCTGCGGAACATGCCCTGATGTCCTGCAGCGCCCCCTGCAGGACATAGTGCATAGAGCTGAAAAGGGCCATCTTGCCTTCCAGACCCAGGGGCAGTCTTGCGGGAGGCCGGTGTGGAAGCCATTTTACCGATGAGGAGACTAAGCTCCAAGGCATCCCCAGGCTGGCCCAAAGACACTCAGAGCTAAGAAATGAAGGCACTGGGGTCCAAACCTGATTCTGTGACCAGGCGCCCACCCACTTCTGCACTCAGATAAACAAGTGCTGTGTTTGCCTTGTTCTCGCCATAATAGGGGCCATTTATTAGGGTCAGGCAGAAGCCGTGTCGGAAACTCAGACAACCGTGGTCCTGGGCATGGGGACCACATGCAGGCCCTGGCAGTCCCCATGAGCAAATATTGACACATTTCCTGGCTGTTAAAGCAGAAAGCAGGCAGCGATGCCACGTGCCCCCAACACCCCGCCCCCGTGGAGCTCTGCCATACCCCAGAATGGTCCTAGCTTGGATCAAAGCAGTGTCTTGTCTGGTGAACGCTTCCGCGGACCTACAGCACGTGGGGCACTGCTCCATTTGCAAATGTTAACTCATTCCAGTCTCCTGACAGCAGGGACGTTGGCTTTCATCTTCATCTCAGAGGAAACTGAGACACAGAGAGGTTAATTAACTGGCTCAAAGTCAAACAGCAAATGGATGAGCCAGGACTCAAACCTCAACAGTCCTGGAGTCCAAGTACTTAAAGCTGCTGTCATTTCTGTAGCACCTAGAAAGCAGGCCTTGCCCTTCTGTGCCCTCTGCCTCTGGAATGGGCAGCACGTGATGAATATTTGAATGAGGGGATGAAGGGGTTCAACAGGACCTCTGGGAACCACGTGTGGCAAGTGGGAAATGGTGTTCGTTGACCTTAAAGTGTCAAAAGCTGAGTGGCTTAAACAAAAACGTGTCGTCTCACAGCCCCGGAGAAGGAAGGCCCAAGGTCGAGGTGTCGCCGAGGTTGCTTCCTCTGGAGGATTCTAAGGAACCAGTTCCCTCCTCACTCCTGGTTCTGGAGGTTTGTGGACAATCCCTGTCATCCCTTGGCCTGGAGAAACATCGCCCCTCATGCTTAGGTGGCCTTCTCCTTGTGTGACTCTGTCCAAATTGTCCAACCCCCCTCCTTCTCCTCCTCCTCCTTCTACTTTGTTGCCCCCCCCCAGTACTGGAGATCAGATCCAGGGCCTCCTACATGCTAGATAATCACAACCACTGAGCTGTATCCACAGCTCTTTTTAAACTTATATTTTGATACTTGCTAAATTTCTCAAGTTGGCCTTGAACCTGCAATCCTCCTGCCTCAGCCTCCTGAGAAGCTGGGCTTATAGACACGTGTCACTGTGCCCGCCCACTTCCTTAAGGACACCAAATCACTGGATTAAAAGGTCCATCCTAAATGTGGCCTCATCTTAACTTCTTATACCTGCTTCACAAATCTTATTTCCAAATATGTTCTCATTCTGAGGTTCTGGGGTCTAGGACTTCAACATTCAAATGTGGGGGACACAGTCTAGCCCCTAACAAGACTTGAAGGCACATGCCGTGTCCCCCCAACCCACCCCGCAGCCTTGTAATGGACTCAGCCGAAGTTCTCACCAGGATTGCAGGTCCTGACCCTGCAGGACTCCAGGATGCTCTTCATATTATAGAGTGGGATCTCATTGCTTCCAGAGTTTTCTTGTGCATCTGCAGTGTCATGGCGGGCAGGCTGTCACCTTCCTGTGGGACAGTGGCCTCCATCATGCCTTCTAGGTGAAGAGGCTCTCAAAGATCTGGGGGCTTTGGTTTCCTCTGCCACAGGCCCAACTCCTCTCTACGACACCAATGCTGATGCAGAATTCTCGTCCAGGGCCTGGTGGTCATGGGCTGTTGCCTGGCAACAGCTTGTGAGCAACAAGTTCAAAGCAAGGCCTCTTACCTTGAGTCTGAACCACTTCAGTGACTGGAGAGGACTCAAGCAGAGTGGGTGGTCACTGCCTCTCCCTCCCTGCTCACACTCAACCGCAGAGCCTCCACTCACTCTACAGCCCCCAAAGTGCCCCGCACCCCCAGATTCCAGCCCCAGACCCTGGGCAAGGTCCTCCTGTCCCGTCCCCCTAACCCCCACACTTGTTTAATGTGTGTGCGTGGGACAGGACGCCAACACACATGCATGCATGTGACCAAGTGCAGGCAAGGGCACCCAGTGTGGGGCACCGCAGGGCTGTGGTACCCAGGGAGGGACCCTGACCCAGGCAGCCACTCCTGTGTAACGCCCAGGCTCAGCAGTCCCTTTGCCCTCCCCACACACACCTGCCACATGGAACGCCCCGACGCACATTCACAGCTGAGATGTCCTGAGCACCTAGTGTATTCCCATCACTGTATTCATGCAAACTACACACACCCCACCCAGCAAAAGCAGCCATGAGGTGATCCTGTGTACATCCAGGCTGCTGGGGTGGCCCAGCCCACCTTCCCTTGCCATGGTAGTCTAATCTGCCATGATAGTCTTGACCTACCGCCTTCCCCATTGGCTAGGCCAGATTGTCCAACATAGTCCCTCACTTTCACTCTGGCTGGAAGGGTAGACACATGACCGACACTGACCAATCATAGCACCCTGTAACCACCTTGTCTTTAGTGATTGGCCCAAAGAACTGTCATGTGACTCAGTTGGAGCCAATCATCTTTCTTTTATGAGATTTTATAGTTATAGGAAAAGAGGCCAGGGATTTAGCTCAGTGGTACTGCTGCCTGCCTCAAATGTACAAGGTCCCGAGTTCAATCCCTGGTAACAAAAATAAAATTAAAAAATAATAATAATAATAATAATGGGAAGAAAATCTATCTACTGCTTTTGGATGAATCTATAAGGATGTGGCCCTGGCCTGTCAAGGGTATCTTACATGTCCTCTGAAGGACCTTCTTTGGGAAGCCACACAAGAAGAGGTCAGGATGCACAGAGCCCAAACACTCCCACACATTCATACCTATCTGAGCACTCAGCATCCCGCCACGGAATTGGCCCAGGACACAACTGTTGTCATGTGTCACCATCTTTACTGATAAGAGTTAGGGCAGAAGGATTTCTAACAAGGGGCAAAGGATTTCCTGACCGACCTCTTGCTCTCTTGCAACACATTGCTCACTGCCCAGGAATTGGGAAGGGAGGAGTGGTTGGAGTACCAGGGGCACCTTCTCCCTCTGACCCTCCGGGCCTTTTCAGGGGAGCTCCATGCCCACCAGGCTGGGCCTCAGGCCTGCAGCCTCGACATGAGTTTGGTTTTGTGTTCTTCCTTCCCCTCTGAGGGGCCTGCTCTGTCCGCAGGCCCTGCCTCCTGGTCCTTAGCCTCCCCTACTCCATTTTTAAAGGGCTAAAATGGCCTCACCCTTATGAGCTGGACCTAGAGAGGCCACTTGACGAAGGAGAGAGGTGAAGGCCAAGGTTAGGTCATCTGAGCTGCCCTAGTCCACCCATTTCAGTGACTGGCTGTCTCCCCAGCATGACTGCTTCTGTCCCCAAATCCCAGGAGGCAGGCAGGCTGGGGCATCCACCTGTTTTATGACAGAGAAACGGAGGTCCAGAGAGGTCAAAGCTGGTCAAGGGTCCTGAGGTGAGTTGAAGACCCAGGTCTCCAAAATTCTGGTTCCTGTGCTTTCCCTGAGGACCCCCTCCCCGCTGAGAGGTGGGGGTGGAGTGGGGGTGCTTGGCCAGAAGTAATCTGCCCCAGGGCCACCTCCACATGGCTCTAAGGGGTCATCTCATCAGGGAGTCCAGGCCAGCCTTGGACAGTGCACCCCTGGTCCTACTGCAACCCCCGGAAGCGTAGAGGATGCGGGGACGGAGGGACCTGATATCCCCAGGTGAGGGGCTCACCCTCCAACATCCACTACCAGGACCTCTGTCAAGGCCACACTGGCCGTACCAGCACAACAGGGCTGGCCCCGTACCTTTGGGGACATTTACTTCCCCTCACATCCTTTTCTAGAAACAAGTTGAGCAGGGTATCAGTCAGCCCTGGTCCATGGATACAATAACTGAGCTCAGCTCAGTGGGGCCAGGGTCAGCGCCAAGGTCACTGAAGACATCTGTCCTCCCCTCCTCCTTTTCCCTTCCCTCCCTTTTCCTCCTTCCATTTCCTCTTCTTCCTCCTGCTTCCTCTTCCTATTTCTCTGTCCCCTCACGCTGCTCTTCGGGCACTGCCTTTCCATGTCTGCCCGCAGATTTGGCTCCCAGCCTGATCTCAGGGCGGGGAGGATGCAGGTTGCAGGAGAGGGACAGGAGGCTCCCGGAGCCCTCAGGAAGCCACCTAGGGAGCCCCCTGAGATAGCGAGCCCTGGGACTTTAGCTGCCTTGGTGATCAGGTGACTGAGCTCAACAGGGGCTCAACTAGGCTACTGGTGGGCTACACTCACACGGTTTGGGGCCCTCTCTAAGAAGAGGAATATAAAATCACAAGTACAAAATGACTGTGGGCCCTGAGAGGGCCCGAGCAGCAAGAGACCCTGAAGCGAGACTTAATTCACTTCCTGGGAAATCTGCCTCTTTTCCTCCTCACATCCAGGAGCATGGACTGTCGGGGCACCGCAGGGCCCACAGGGCAGAGTGTGCAGGGCGCAGAGGCAGAGCCCTAGAGGAGTCGAACCAGCCAGAGCCTCACAGCAGCCATGCAGAGCTGAGCTGGGACTGAGCCTTCCACATCCTCCTCCCCACAGGGTTCAGCTTTCTTCTTCGGGCTCCAGTTCAGGCCCCAGTGTCCCAGACTGAGCTCAGGAAGTCCAGGCCTTGGTCTGATCTTCAGAGGACCCAGGCCAGGCAGAGCCAGCCCCCTAACCTGGCAGCCTATGCTTTTCATCTGACAGAGCCTATCCAGGCTGATTACTCCCATCCCTGAGTCACAGAGGAGAAAACAAGGCTCAGAGAGGGCAACTGACCTGCTGAGGTCACACAGCAACCCTGGTAATTACAGGATCGGAGGCCAGGCCTCTGATCGGCCCATATGGGAGCACACATGGCCTCTGCCCTTCTTCCTAGGGTGCCAGCTCTTTCCCTGGTCCCTACAGACAGCTGATGTGGAGGGGGCCCAGCTTATCCCCAGCAGAGGGCTCCTGCGGGAGGGGCCGCTGCTCCTTGCCCGCGGCAGCACTGGCCGGCCGCCCCTGCCCGCTGGTGCCAGGCTGTGTGATCTGGCTGACCCGGCCACCATTCAGCTCCCGCCACTTCCTCTCCTTCCCCTCCTTGTCCTCCGCTCCCCGCTCTCCATCCTCATCCTCATCCTCTTCCTCCGTCTTCTCCGGGGGCCCTGTGGGGGGCTCCTGGCTGCACACACGGCGGGATGGCCGCAGCAGGACCCTGCGGAAGCCCTGCTTGAAGCGGTAGGAGAGGAAGCCGTAGAGGATCGGGTTGGCGCAGCTGTTGGCATAGGGCAGCGCCACCACCAGGAAGTAGAGGCCGAAGAAGGCGGGCTCCTCGGGCAGCGGACACACCACGTTGACGATGTTGAGCACGTAGAAAGGCATCCAGCAGAGGACGAAGAGCGCCACCACCGCCACCACCATGCGCGTGACCCTG